TAGAGATAGTAACCTCTAGTGTGATACACTTGTTTCCATTGCTTTGTTTAGTCCCCTTGATTGATTGCTGGAGTCCAGTGATAAAGACAGTGTAATTAGTTTTTTCTTTTGCTTCAAAATATTAAGTGCTGTCATTTGAAAATGCTGGATCATTTAGATTTATTATTCAGTCCTCTAAATTCTTAATGCTCTTTGATCATGGATTTTTACTGTTTTTGCAAAACTTTTAACGGTGATTTTTTCGTGTAACCTTTGACTTAAAGCTTATCTTAATTTTCTACTTTGTATAATTTTGACAAGTTCCTTGCATAAGAAAATCACAAAGTTTGGACATAAGTATAAGGGTTCTCAAATCTCTGGTCCTATGGCATAGTACCTATTTTGCAGGCAAAATATTTATCAAATATTTATCAAAATGGCAATGTACACATAAGCCCTTTGATAAATTCATTGCAAAATATATTAACATACCAAATGTAAACTTTTATGCCCTGGATATTATTTCAGTTTCTTTGACATGCTAACATTTCAGGCAGAAGTAACAATTTTTCAGTGGAACAGTACCAGAAGTTAGTAACCGAATGCAGCATTGTAAGTTTTCACATCTGTGGCCCACTTCACAGCAGGTTATTGTGGCTGGTAAACAGCGCAGGAAAAAGTTGGTGTCCAGGGTTAAACATCTGGATTGTGATGACTATATAGTGAGCCTTGAGCCCAAGGGGTGGTTGGGGTGCCTGGATGAAGGAAGCACCTAACAATTAGAAGCGGCTGGATAGAATGAAGAGCTGCCCCAGTGTGCTTGAAATATTCTATGTAAGTTTAAGGCAAATGCCAACTTTCAGGTTGTTTGGTGTACAGGTGACTTTAAGTACTTGAATTTTGTGTGTTGAAAGTTGAAAAGGTCATATTGGAAACAATTTTTTTCCTATTAGAATTATGTAAGAAAAAAAGTAACTCAATGATGGCAGGTAGAAAGTATAAAATATCAATTCACGGTTATGAAATGAAATTGAATGAGAGGTACAGTTAAATGGGCTAGTTGCCATATGAATGGGCTTCATATGGCAACTAGCTACTGTTGTCCGTTTTTATGATATATTCTTTCACGCCATACACATCGTCTTCATCTATCAGCATAATTGACACTATATAAGCTAACTTGTTGGAAAATTTAGTGTAGGATAGCAGTGGTAAAACGAGTTAATAAAATGGCTAGTGTCATTTAAGTATGTGTGTAAATATCCTTAAGTTATAGTTTATGACTGGCCCCACCTATAAAACAGCTACTTCTACAGATTACTGTAAAATTTGTATCTGTTTGCTGCTGTTATAGTCAGCAATTTCTCATTTATATGGGCTGCATCAAAAGAAGTGTGGCCAGCAGGTCAGGGGAGGTGATTCTGTCCCTCTGCTCCACTCTCGTGAGACCCCACCTGGAGTACTGCGTCCAGCTCTGGAGTCCCCAACAAAAGAAGGTCATGGACCTGCTAGAGCGGGTCCAGAGGAGAGCCACAAGGATAATCCGAGGGTTGGAGCACCTCTGCTATGAGGAGAGGCTGAGCGAGTTGGGGTTGTTCAGCCTGGAGAAGAGGAGGCTCCGGGGAGATCTTATTGCAGCCTTCCAGTACCTAAAGGGGGCCTACAGGAGAGCTGGGGAAGGACTGTTTACTGGGGCATGTAGTGATAGGATGAGGGGGAATGGCTTTAAACTGGAAGAGGGCAGGCTTAGATTAAACATTAGGAAGAAGTTGTTCACTTTGAGGGTGGTGAGGCACTGGAACAGGTTGCCCAGAGAGGTTGTTGAGGCCCCATCCCTGGAGGTGTTCAAGGCCAGGCTGGACGTGGCCTTGGGCAATCTGGTCTAGTGGGAGGTGTCCCTGTCTATGGCAGGGAGGTTGGAACTCGATGATCTTCAAGGTCCTTTCCAACCGAAACTATTCTATGATTCTATGATTCAACTTAGCTTTCAAAGGAAGGAGAAAAAAATCTGTAACTGGTATTTTGGTTAAGTTCAGTACCTGCCATCTAAATAACCTTGGATATATTTTGTGCTGCCTTGCTGGTGTCAGAGCAGTGCCTATGTGACCTAAAGCATCTAGCACTGTCTGAAGCTATATTCCTGTGTATCAGTATCATTAAATCCAGTATTTTCTGTCTCTGTGCCCGACTTCTCCACTGTGCTCGTAGAAATGAGAGGACGGTTGACTTCTTAGGGATCTAATTTGCAGTAAATAAAATTCTGAATAGGGCAGGGGGGGTAGTGGAATGGGGAGAGAGGTTCGCTTTTAGTGACTCCTTGAGTTACAACTGCAGTTTAATGTTACAAGAGTTCTATTCACCTTTTGTTTATATAGGATAATAATTTTCCTGTTTCTTCCCCTTTAGGAATGCCAGTTTATATTCCTTGTCAATGATCAAAGTCGATTTTGAAAGTTTAAATGAAAACTCTATAGGGAATTCTGAGTGATAGGAAAGACCAGATCTGAACATTAAAGAGGCTTTCCAATCTCTGTGATGACAATGCATTTTTCTTCGCTCAGGATTAACGGCAATGTGACCATTCTAAGGCAATCTGCCAAAAAAAAAAAAAAAATTCACTGAAAACACAGAAAACATGCCAAAATAATCTAATTTTTAAAATGGCATCTTGATTTTTTTCCTGAATTCTAGAATATTCGGTTAGCTATTATTCCCCTGAAGGCTGCAAATCTAAATAGGTTTATTTAAATGTAAGCAAAATGAAGTGAAGGGTCATTTATATTTCTTGGATGCATTTTAGAATTTTAATCTTGCAGGATTAATTTTAAGAAATTCAAGATTTCAGCAGCAAAACTACCTCAGTGGCATGGAGGTTGTCCCATTTTTCATGAACTAATTTTGCTTTGTAAACTCTAATATGGATATGCAGAATTCTGTACTGCATATTATGGTGGGAGGTCTGTCTTTTACATGAAGAACACACAAGTAACTGGTCTTACAGAATGGCGCAATAGCTGTATGGCAACAGCATGTATATTATATATGAGGCTGATCTTGTTAATAGAACCTGTTAGATGCTGCTCTAACTGCGTAAAGAATATTAAATCAATATACACGTGAGGGGAAATTTGGCACAGCGGACAGTAAGCATTATTGTGTTGAATCTTTCCAGATGTTACAGGGCTGAATTTTTATCTGGAAGTTAGACTTAAAATTCATGAGCAATATTGGTTCAGCTGTTTCTGGTTTATTTTGTGTTTATTGCTATAGCTCAAGAGAATAGCTATTACTCCAGCTGTGAATGTGTGTTGGTTTTCCTTCTGATGAACTAGGGAGATCTGCACAGACAGGCTTTTTTCCTCAAAGAGGAAACAATCACCTAAAACAAATGTATGTGTAACATGGTGGGTAGGGATGTGTTCTGTGTTCATGTAGGTGTTCTGTCTTAGGTTTATGAGATCTTGAGGGCAGGCATTCATTATTACAGATCTGAATAGAGCCTACCATAAAGAAGTGTTGGGTTGTTTTGTCACATCTTTGCACAAAGGCATCACCAGTAGTTTTAACTCCTGTCTTCAAGCGATGGTCTGTGTATCCTTACAGAATCTAGGTCTTCCTGTTTTTGAAACCACAGGTAGCTTTAGCACCAAAAGGTGGCCTCCTTATGCTACCTGTATTAAAGCATGGGTTTGATGAAAGTGCCTGCCTTTTTCCACCACAGTGAGGTCAAGGACTAATTGCACCTGTGTTTTTCTCAGCACCAGCCCTCATGTAGCTTATGGTCCTTAGCTCAACTGATGCTTCTGCTGTCGTCTGTTTCCTTTTTTGTTCATCTTTCCTCCTTTTTCTTTCCTCTCCTTAACCCATCAAGTGACCACGATTGGGTTTTTTCTGCCCTTGACTGAGAAAATACTGCCACGTGGAGGAGCAGCACAAGGTTCAAGACTCTCAAGCTTCAAGAGAAGCAGCTTTGGCTTATAGAACTTCCTTTCCTCAGGTGGGGGCTGTGCTGTCAGGTTTTCTACTCTTGCAGACACGTGCAACTTGCTTGCGGTTAGTTCCTCAGCTGTCCAAGAGCTCCATCAGTCACGAGTGGAAGACTTCATACCACACTGGCTGCATCTCCACTATCCACAGATCAGTCAGTCCAGCCGAAGTCACTGCCGTAGACCTTACCACAGCTTGACTTCCAAAGGCTGTTGACACTCGAGGGCATCTGCCCGACTTTAGTAGGAGCACTGAGCTATTCCTCAGGAGCCAGGGGTGGTGGCTGTGCACAGCCTGGTCTTGTGGGGAGCCTGGCTTGTGCCAGGCCTCCCTCTCCAGGGGCTGTCGCCCTGGAGAGCTGCTTGGAAATACCGAGACTGCATGCCTTGGCTCTGCCTTAATGATGAAAACCTGTTGTTAAACAGCTGGGGGAGGTCTACTTTCCCTTCTCCTTTTCTTCCTCGCCTGGGCTGGTGGGTGAGGAGGGGAAGCCACCAGCTAGCTACCGCTAGCCATGTGGGGCAGGTGCGATCGCAGCAATTTACAGCAATACCGCACTGGCTCAAGGGGTGGGGGAAGAAAATGAGCATGACAAATTCACTATCTGATGGAAGGGAAGTGTGATACTTAAATATATGTATCATATATGTGAGGGATTTATAATTAAAGTTCACTTTCTTGTGACTTTCCCTTGCCCGTGGACTGGGCTGCAGCCATTGGATCCTTCCTGTGCCCGGCTTTGGCTCTCCACGGCCGGCCGAGGCCGTCCCCGGCCGGGGCCGGGGCCCGACACGCGGGAACGGTTTCTCCTGTTGCCGGGAGGAGCCCTGCGGCCCGACCTCGCCGCTCTTCTCGCCGGCGGCGCTGGCTCCCGGGAGGAACCTTAGTGCCAGTCGCTATTCCCCCCCGGTGCCGATTGCCGGGAGCACGGGGGGACGGGGGGCTGTTTAGAGCGCCGTCCGGGAAGCTGCCGTTGCTAGGGGCTGCAGCTTGGGGAGCGCCGCCCGCTCCGGCGGGCCGGGCCAGGCCGGGCGATGGCGTCGCTGGGGCTGAGCGAGCGGGAGCAGGCCGGGTGCCGCCAGCTCCTGGAGTTTCTCGAGACCGAGGAGCTGATGGCGCTGACGGACACCGTCACCAACCGCCTGGTGCACCCGGAGGGCCGACAAGGTGCGCGGAGCCGGTGACGAGACCGCGAATTCCTGCGGCGGCCTCCCTGGCCCCGCGGCCGGGATGTTATAGCCGGCCTCTGTCCTCCCTTTCCCCGGCCGGCCGGCCCCTGTGCTGCCCTTCACCGGCGGGCCGTGGGCCTGGCGGCAGCGCGGAGACAGCCGGGCCGGACGAGGAGGCGAGGCCGAGGGCTGCGGACGCGTCCCTGCTCCGCCGCCGCTGGCTTCGGGCCGGGCCGGCTCACAGCGGTGGGCCGGGGAGTGGGAGACGAGCTAGGCCGGTGTGCTGGAGCTGGCCGGGCCGGGGGAGGGTTGGCTCAGCCCGACATGTGCGGCTGCCTTCTGTTGGGCCGTAGATTTGGGGAGAGCCTTTTTCTGCAGTGGGCTGGCGTACATCCGAGCGGTACTGGGGTTTGGCTGCTGGGAGTCTGGGGTTTGTTTTGGCCAAGTGTCTCTTGCTATTTGCGTTAATGACATTTGCTTTCAGGTTTTGAAAGAGTAAAACACAAATCAAATATTGAACTTATTTCTTTGTAGAATGGAGCACTTTCAGGTGTCACTGTTCTTCATCACTTTGTAGATGTTGAGATTTGTTTCGTAAAACTTGATTTTGTATGTGACCTGAGACCATTCAGTGTATGGCCCTGAAATATACTTATCCAAAAAACCTTGAATATGTTTCATGTGATGTAACTCAGACCTGTAAGATTTTCCAAACACACTTGTTAAAAAGGTCTTGTAGTCTTTATTATTTCTTTTTTTCATCTACTTTTTGCAGTGGTTGTCAGTTAAATTAAAAGGTGTTTTGTGGGGTTTGTTTGTTTGTTTTTTGTTTTTTGGTTTGTTTTTTTTTTACTTCTGCTAGTAGTCTCTTCTTGTTTAAACTTACAGTTTTTATCAGTAACATGTTAAGTACCCAGCCTCGGTTCAGGTGAGAACTGGCTACTTTAAAAGTGAATTTCAGTTTGTCATGTTTCCTAATTTTGCCACAGAGCCTTGTAGCTGAATTTTTTTGAATGTTACACTCCAGTGTCATTGTGCTACAATGCATGGCATTTATTTATTTATTAGTGTGGAAATAAAACAGATCTAATTCCATTTCCATCAGTCATCAGGAACCTAGATGGAACCTCACTTTTGCAAACTACTGTGTGTTGTTTGAAAAACTGGAAACTTCTGGTACTAGAGTTCTTGTTCAGCATATGAGGAATCAGAGATTACCTTAGTTATCTCTCTGTATTTCTGTCAGTTTTGTGTTCATGGGAAACATTTGAAAACTTTCATTTTCTTCAAAATAACAATGTGTTCTCTGACAAGTTTGGAGATCATGTGAACTATCCATTTGATGCAGAAATTAAGATGCACGTTCCATATTCAGAAGAACCATAAAAGATTTGTCTGGTTCTTCTTTCTCTGTGTAATCTTGCTTCCAAGAAGAGAGGTGGATGGCTTCTTTTGAAATATCCCAGAGCTTTTCTAATGGAGAATGAAACCAAGCTCAGCTTTTGCTAAGTGAAAGTGCTGTATGGTGACACAAAGCAGGAAGCCCTAAATGATTTCCTGTTGAATGAACGTATTTTGAAGTTAAGTCTAGCTGCATCTCAGGAAGTATAGGTGAAATGCATTGTGTGCAAGAATCTTTATACTTCTTGAAGCACTTGAAGTTTCTGAACAGCTACAAATACTTGAAGAATATTGGTAATTTCATTTGGAAGAAAAATCTGCATCCTTTTAATCAAGCTCAAATAATAACAAGTTACAAGCAGTCGTTGATACTGGAAGTAAGGATTACAAGGTAGCAAGGTCTTCAGGAAAAACAGCACTGTTTTTTAAATGTGTTCCCAAGTCTTTGGATATCTTCTGTGTCTAAGATGATTAGTTCAGATACCAGTTTGTAAACAAACTTAAGTTTTTGCGTTTCACTTGGGCTTGTCTTGTATTGCATTTGGAGGTGCTGGTCAGGTTTGGGTTTCAATTATGAGTGAAGCAACAGCTAACTTAAATTTCTTTACTTGCAGAAGCCATTCGTGCCATTTTGGTTTACAGCCAAAGCGTAGAAGAACTTTTGAAACGCAGAAAAGTCTATAGAGAAATAATTTTTAAGTATTTGGCAGCACAAGGAATTCCAGTGCCTCCTTCCTCTGAGAAACAACTACTTATTGATCGTGTAAAGCAGTACTGGAGTGGGCAACTCACAACACATCCCTCAGAGTCAGGGGAAAGAAAACCACACGCAGAGGTGAGTGCTGCTTTCAGAAAGACCTAAGGATGCTTAGCATTGCTTTTGAAGGGTAACCAGTGTAAGTGTTCTAATGTACATCCAAAATGTGGCTCTTTACCTGTGTTTAAGAAGGTACTGAATCTCTTTAACTCTTGGTTTGTTTGATTTTGGTTGGTTTGTGGTTTTTGTTTTAAAATCACATCATTTAAAGGTGTCTGTGCCAACATATCACTTGCAGAGCACAGTCTTCTGCTTTGTCTTGCAAAGTATATTAGTACATTTGAACTCTGTGCGAAGTCTTCTCCATGCTTTTAATTTTTTAAGTTGTACTGTAAGCTAAAATAGAGGGTATTCACGAATAATTCTGTGGATTCAAGGACAACTAAACCCAGAGTTAATGGTACAGAAACCCTGGATAGCCTCTTGTCATTTTTTACTATGATGGATCCAGTCATCCTCCAGGCACACCAGGCACTAGCGATACCATTGTTAGGGCACATCTCGGAGCAGAGCAAAGAGATGCTCTTGATAGTAGATCATAAGGCAAAAATGTCTGTCAAACTGTTGTCTAAAATGTTGCGGACGAGGGAGGGAATGGAGAGAAAACTGCCTTTTGGTAAGTGGCCTTGATCTACTTGTAGAGACAGTGCAGTCAAAATAGCACGGTCTGTAAGCTGTTTTCCTTCTTATCTCTTGCAATTAGAGTGCAGAATGGACTTAGTGAATTTTTATATCATTGAAATGTAAAGTTTGTAGTAGTGCCAGGTCCGTGTTGTTTTTCCCTCTTGGTATTCGTAACACTTAATATAGTGTAACTAAATGTGTATTGGCAATTACAGGTTACTTTGAAGTTCAAAATTGTGCCATTTAGCAAATCCTCGCGGTGTAATGAGCTTTCGGTATTTTATTTGTGTCAGATCTTTACCATGTAGTTCTAAATAGCCACCTTGCTCTTTCAAGTGTTGTACTTGAGACCTAATGGGCAACAGCCCCACCACCTGGACTGTTAGAGCTCTGTAGTTGTTGATAACCTATTACGTTGAGCTTTCTGTCAGGGATTAACTGATGAGAATTATGATTTAGCTGAGAATTGTTTAAAAAATTTTTTTTGTGTGCATACTTTGGAAAAAAAAAAAACACTTTGCTCTTGCAAGATCACTTCCCAAGTATTACATGGTAGCAAAGTTTTATGATTGAAGGTAAGTAAATGTAATTCTCCAAAGTACTTCAAACGCATTCACAAAAAATGAGAAATTCAACTGGTTTATTTATCACATACATTCTTTGCCTTTATTTTCCCTGAATTCTTGTGGCCATTTTGAAGAAATGGATAACAGTTCTACATAACAGAATTAGAAATTAATTACAGTTTATCGTGAAACAAATACAGCATTTCTATATAAAAGTCTCCGAACGTTTCATACTTTATTACTTAATACTTACTTAAAACATACTTAATTTAATACTTACTAGACTTGGATGTTAGCAAACTTGACATTTGATTTACATCTAGAAGTCTTGCTGTCAAGTTGCAAATACCGAGAAGCCCTACAAAATAAGTGTACATTTAGTTCTCGTTCAAAAAACATGTCACCTTACAGTTGGAGGTCATGTATCTTTACATTGGAAAGTTTGGGTGATTTTTCATACGTAAAAACCCCTTACCTATAGTAAGAGAAAGCAGAGGATAAACAAACTACGTATGTACAAATTAAATAGACTCACAGGACTGCTACTTGAGCATCCGATTGTTGCCTTTTACAGTGACACTTCCTTTAGAAGGAAGTGTCTTGTAAACCAAATGTGTTTTTATAATCAACTGAAAAAACTGTTTTAAATATCTAATTTCTAAGCAACTTGTTTCCTCAATGTTTGTCCTTAAGTTTTGCTATTCTTTTACACAGTTGTAGACGTACCAAGAATTCAGTTGCAAGGAATAAATTTATTTTTTTCTTAGCTTGACCCATAATAGTGTCTAAAAAAATCTTACTGTTCTTACTGCTTACTTTGTTGCAGTACATATGTAGTGATACAACACGTGGAGTGGTTTGTCACACTCTTCTGATACGGTTTTAATAACGTGACCATTGGTTCTTCACTGATACTTGCTTTTGCTACTTACTGTGAATTTGGCTTCAAAACTTCATACCCACCACTCTGTTGTCAGTCTCAGCAACCCATCATTAAACCTAAATATTTTTGAAGTATTTTTTAGCCCTCTACATCTTAGATGTATTTTAGGAGAGTGTGTGTGTGTCATTTTCTGTAAAGCAAGGAAAAAAAGGGCACAAGTGACTTGTCCATAACCATTGAGGAACTATTGGAAGATGTATTTTCAGTTGCATGCTTTCTTTCACTGACTCATTCTTCTCTGAGGCTTCTGGACATGACAAGAATCTTTGACTGAGCCTTTTCAAATTATTATTTGAAGGTTTGGCTGTTTGCTAGCAATGTTTACTTTGTCTCACTACTTAAAAATACTTTCTCATCAGATTCAGTGTTGAACAAAAGATTTTATGACAGTCTGAAGAAAGGATTTTATGACAGGCTGAATGGAGTTACCTTTATTCCCAGAGTAAGCCTGTGCTGCTGTGTGAAAATCCCTGCAGCCTTCCTATCCCAATGTGATATTTCCTCAGTCTGTTTTAAGTGATCAGTTGTCCAATTAGAAAAGTAACTGAGATTCCTCAAGACTTTTGTCTATTTTGGAGGAGCAAAGGTAACATAAGTTATGGTTTTCTTTGATTTGGGCTCTTTTACTATTAGGAATATGGTGAGGACTACAAACATCACTCATGAAAGTGACCAAGTGTCTTTTGGATGACTTTTGGCAGTCTTACTGCCAAACAGGGCTAAATTGAGGCACGTCATCTGGTGGAGAAAAAGTTCTGGGGAATACATTAATTCTTTGAGTTTCAGCTCTCCCAGGGTTAGTTGTGCATTTTGTTGGCATATTCCACTGACATAGGTAAAATGCCTCCATAAAGCAGAAGTACTCTGTCAGCTTCAGGTATTAGGAAACGCATATTCAAAAGGTGACTTCCCAATAAGTCCTACTGGTTTTTATCAGCTATATGAAGGTGCAGAGACCAACACAATTCACCAGATTAAAAGAGACTGAAGGCAACATGAAACGGGAAAAACATGTCAACATAATCGCTTATTTATAAGCACTTTTTGGGAAATTGCTATGCCTTAATATGAAATTAGCTTTTCAGGTTAAGTCTGTATCTTTCTTGTTTTTCTGTAACCTTCTTTTGGAAATGTGAAGGCCAGTGAAAAGTTACTAACCCAGCTACTTTTTGCTCAGCAGGAGTTTTGTCAGTGTGAGAATCATGGTCTCATGGAAGTAGTTCAAAAATCCCTCCCTGCCCTTCTTCAGTAGAGCCAGGATTTTCCTCTTTGTTTATAAATTGTAGACCAAGACAAAACTGAAGGACTATTCTAACTGTAATTCAAATAACCTACTCTGATTTGCTAGATAAGATAATCATCTTAAAAATAAAAGAGATTTTACTTTATTGTTTTCCTTCAGGCACTCTGTCTTGGAACATTTAAAGAACACTTAAAATGTTTAAAATAAGTATTTACACGATTTTATGTTGTTCTAAATGGTAATCTCGCACGTTAAGGCTAAATAGTTCTAAGAAAAAAAATGTGCTTGATTGCAGAGTCACGGAGAGAGACAAAAGTCACCACAAGATGCCATTCGTGATCTAGGAGAGGAATTCTGTCAATGGTTCTTTGAACTCCTGAATTCTCAGCATCCCTTGGGAGCAAAATCTGAAGAAGGATGGGGACCACAGCATTTTTGGGAAGATGCTAAAATGAAGTTCTGTTACAACACATTAGAAAAAAACATGGAAGAATATGTTGGTGCAGAAATGGTGAGCCTTCGTCTCCTCTCGTTGGTTAAAGAAGAATATCTTCTGTTCAACCCTAATTTGCATGCCAGTGGACTGAAATGTACCATGTCTCGACATGGGTTAGTACTGGTAGCAGTGGCTGGCACGGTACATAGAGACAACACTTGTTTGGGCATCTTTGAACAAATTTTTGGACTCATTAGCTGTCCTGTTAAGGAGAATACCTGGAAAATAAAAGCTGTGAACCTTAAAATAGTTGGACAGAATGCTCTGGAGCCTGGGATGCAAATTGAAAAACCCTCCCTAAAATATGAGTCAAACCAACTGCAAGAGTTATATGATGGGAAAGAACTGACTGTGTTTGAACCTCAGAAATTCTGAGCAATTCTTTCACAACTGAGTGACTGGGTGAGGAGGGGAACATACACCACTTGGCTGCAACCATTTCAATATTCAACTGTGCACGACGTGATGTTGTCTCTTTTTTGAGTCGTATTTGCTGGATGATGAACTGAGTGGAATACAGAGTCTAAAGTATTAATAAAGGTCATGCTTTTGGGCACCTTTCCAAGAGCTAACAAATATTTCACAGTATTACTTCAGATTTTGTACTGTAGTTAAGAATGGAGTTAGTTTGGTTATTCTTGGTTACAAAACGTGGTTACATTTAAATATGGGTTGGCAGCAGTATATAATGGGCTTAGATGACTTGGGGTTCACAAACTGCAGGTTGCTTTTCTTCAGGTCATCAGTTTAAACTCCGAGTTGTAACAGGAAGTCGTTGTTTCTGGCTTTTTGGAATTGGGATTGGTGGGTGTCTAAATGGACTTCAAAGTCCCAAGAAAACCATCTGCGCTTTAGGAGTTTTTAGAGAGAACAGACAAACTAATGTGAATGAACACTGCTGCCACTTAGATTCTAAATGTGGTTCTGTCACTGAACAATAGTAGTAGTTTAATGGGACAATGCAAGGAACTTAGCATCATTGAAGTCTTTTTCTCTTTGGGTTAATAGCTTCCTTTCCTTTTACCTTATGGTTCCAACTTTGTAATGAATACTGACAAACTCTCTGTTGTTCTATCTGTGTCCCCAAGCAGACAAATTTGAAATGGTTGCCCAGGCGCCCATTTCTAGCACTGACTCTTGGATCAAGTAGTTGATTTCATGACTTACAGCAGCGCTGTGTGAACCAAATGCTTTAATAATTATTTTGTATATACTTGCAACAGAGTTTTTAATATAAAACTTGTGATTTTTGTATGTTTTCTCAAAATAAGAATTGTCTACTCTGAGCTCCTTTATTACATTTGTTAATGCTGGGCAGTTACAATGATAAGTGATACTAAATAAATAATCTAATTACTACTTAATAACTGAAATTATTGCCATTGTAGAACTTGAGTTTTTTTACTTTTTATTTATAAGTGATAAGAGGTGAAACGAGGGAAACTTCTTTTTCTGCAGCTTGCGTGGATTCTTTGTGAGTTTTGTTTTAAGTTTATAGCTTCACCAATACAAGTTGTGAAAACGGAAACATTCCCCATGGCACATTCCACATTCTTGTTGAAGATGGCAAATCATGACATTATGGGTGAGTGAGGGAAAACAGCAAGATTCTGGTTTGCACAGAACTGATTTTTATGAACAGTCTGAATCTTGAGTTCACTTTAAAAATTTCTAAAGTAATTTGTTTTCTAAGGAAAAGTTCAAGTACTGTGCTGGAATCCTCTTTCCCAATAAACAGTTGGGTTGCGGCTTCTTCAGCTACTGTTGTATGATAAGTAAAAACCAACCTGAATTTAAAATTCAGAAGAAGCAGTTTCCTTGTACATGTTCAGAGTTGCTTTCCTCTTCAGGTGAGGATGAAAGCCTACCTACAGGCATGAATGGGTACCTTTTCAACATTCAGTGTAACAGTCTGCAATTCAACTAAATATTTTGTCATTTGCAGAGCTGTACTTTGTAACTGGCAGCATAGCTATTACTTGAGTGTGTTAAATATGAACATGACTAAGGGTATAGTTTTCATTGCTGCTTTAAGTTGGTGTGGTGTGGGAGGGCCCCGTCCTCACTCAGGTACCTGTCCTTGCTTCCTTCTTGTGTCGGCAGTGATACTTGTGCTAACTCTGAACAAGAGGGAGTGGGGACTGATCCCAGTGAAAACTAACTGGTTGTCAGAAACCCTTCAGGCTGATGAACTCTGTAAGAAGGCTGGCCACGCAAGTGCTAGTGTCAGCTTGAGGAACAGAGATGAGACTTTGCTTTTTTTGGTGACAATCTGAATTTCTGTAGGATTAAGCACATGATCAATGCTTACATTCAAACGTTTATGCTTGATCACTTCAAAATATTGAATGCAAGGAGCTTTTTACTAAGGCTAAGCTAATGAACTTATTGTTACTCCTTCAGTTCTCCTACACAAAGTTTGCAAGAAAATGTTAAATTGTCACAGCCTTGTGACCTCTGTGTAAATCCGTGTTCTGTTGCAGAGTGGAGCAGGCGCTGTATGATATACTGATGTCCTGTTGCACTTGCTGCTCTTGCACTGTTGATCAGGCTGTAAAGAATCTGCATGCATTAGTCTGTGCTCATCAGCTGCTGAATGATAACTGATTTTTGCAGCAGCTAATTTTGGTGTGTGCTTATGGGTTACTTTAAATTGTAGTTACCAAGGAGCAGCTGGTATCAGCAGCTCACAAGCAGTTTGACGGCTGCTGATGAGCAGCAGTCATCCCAGGCTGCTGCTGCAAAATGCGGGAAACGCTACAGTATCCGCTCTTTACAATTTCACTACCTGAATATTTGGTAGGCACTGACAGTCAACTAATGCTAAGTAACTGTGGTTTTGCAGTTATTAACTGGTATGACTTTTTATCTTGTGATACACCTTCCTCTTTTTCTCCCGGGCAGGCATTCCCTCTTTCAAAAGCATACTCATCCCTTCTAAATGCATTTTATCTCCGCTTGGAAAAAAAGGATTCCAGTTTTATAATGGTTCTTCAGGCTCTCCATCTTGCAGGGAGGCAGAACTGAGTTTTGAAAGCTGCTGCCTGCCTGTTTCCAGTCAGTTGTAGGGGAGGCAGAGAGGTGGTGACGCCTTTGCTCTTTGACACTTAATGTATGTAGAAGCATGCCTGTTTTGTGCCATGTGAGAGCTGTGTGGTCATATTTGCAGCACGACACCACAGGATGTCACAGGTGTTTTTCTGGTGTTCTGATTATTGTATATAATATGTATCCTTACTGGGAGGTCAGAAGTCAATTTTCAAATCATTGTCACATTCAGATTTATTTTTTTTAAGAGTAGGAAAACACTAACCGCAAGGTAAATTTGAGAAGGTACTTTTAGTTTAACCTTGACTTTAAGGAAAATATTAGGACTTGTTTAAATGGACTACAGCCAAAACACCTTACTTGAAATATTTATGGAAGTGATTTCATCACTCCCTCTAGATGCTGCCATTCAGAGCTGAAGTAACTTCTAGTTGGTTTACCTTTGGAAACAGTGGCCATTTTTGTTGCGTTTAGGAGATTCAGAAAAATGAAATGAAAGTTCTTTAAAACTATTTTCATCAGTTTTCCTTTGTAGCACTATTTACTGAAAATATTTGTCTTGAGCTTTGACTAACAATTGCTTAGGTATATCACTACTACTTAAGCTGAAATGCTAAATTTATACTCTCTAGATCTGTCTCTGGAAAGTAATTTGATAGTAAGCAAAATGTTGACTTGCAACAAAGCAGCCGGAACCTGCTGAATTGTATAAATGTTAAACAGTGGAATTGTGACCCTCTGTTCTAATCGGCCACACCAGACGTAGTTAGGTGTTTTGTCTCTGAAGTAGGAAGTTTTAATGTCTTAAAGCAATATATGAGTGGAACTTCTGTGATCATGCAGGCCATCTACCTTACTACAGGTTATACTGTATTGCTTTGGCTGTGCTTACTCGCCTGATGCAGAAGAAGAAAAGCAATTGCAAGAAGACCTTACACAGAGCATTAAACATGTTCTGACTTGTTTCTGTGGTCTAAATATCCAGCAGTGCTCAATTGCATGTTATTTTTATCAAGCTTGTAATAGTAATGAAAGAAATGTGTTTTTCTTTTGGATGCTTTTCCAGTGTATTTAGTAATATGTAAAAGGTGTCTAATATTCTTCATGTATGTCCTGCTTGTTTAATAATCTGATGAGGAAATCTTAAGGTTGATGACTTGACACCATCAAAATCCTTGCCAGCTTGTATTTTCCCCCCCCTCATAAGTTGCAAAGGTAGATAGACGTTGCCTTTGCACACTTCAGTGACTCTTTTTCTTAACATTCCATAATGCATGTACCATTAAGCAAGCTGTCAGTTTGACTCTGTTTCCTACATCCAGTTCCCTGAACTTCAAAACCCCAAAGCTTATTTCAGGCACTACTTCACATCTCAGATTAGCTCCAGTTTATTAGGTCACAAATTTATTGTAATATACTCCGCTGGTGGCTGCAGAAGCAGCTCAGCTGTTAAACCATTGGATTGAGGAAAACAATTAGTTTGCAATCGTGATAGTTTTCTCACCTGAAATGTTTACAAGCAATAGTGTGTCTCACACTGGCTGCAGAGTACCTACACTCCTCTTCACGTGACTTAATACAAATTAGGCAGGATAGAAATGACAAAGTTTCCCTGCTAAGCACTCTATGAAAGTGCAGGCTCTTAATTCTCCGGGGGGTCTGGGTGCCTTCAACAGCATATAGATCTCTTAATTAGTAGTTGTTATTTTGGAATTGGAAGCTAACAGTATGTCAGACACCTAATGCTGCTAAGGACACTTCTTTGAGCTAAGGCTTTGCAGATCTGAAGTAAAGCCTGCTGTAGGAGGTGGGGGCAGGCAGATGTCTGCAGGAGAATCAGCTGTGCTAACCCATCTTCTGCTCTGTTGTTTGAACAGATGCTTGTGCTGTGTTTTTTTCAGAACAGGCTGTAGGAAAATGTCTTAATGTGGTACACCTCATAGGCATGGATTTAAGGCTTTTCAAATAGTATAAATTTGAGTTTATTTGTAAAATCTTTACTAACTTTTTTTGGCAGTTGAAATAATTTACGTAAATCAAATGCTTTTTGTGGCATGTAGCTGAAAACTGATTTATTACCAGAAAGCCAACTGTATCATGGGCTGCATCAAACAAAGCACAACCAGCAGGTTGAGAGAGGTCATCTTCCCCCTCTACTACACTCTCATGAGACCCCACCTGGAGTACTGCATCCAGCTCTGGGGCCCCCAATGTAAGAAGCATGTGGACCTGTTGGAGGGAGTCCAGAGGAGGCCCATGAAGTTGATCCGAGGGCTGGAGCACCTCTCCTATGAGGAGAGGCTGAGAGAGCTGGGGTTGTTCAGCCT